TACTTAGTATCTCTATGGATTAGAACGTCCCGTACCGTGCGTGGCATTCTGACAGGATCCCTGCTCTTTATTTATTGCGTTTCTTTTGGAATTTGATTATTTGTATATACTAATAATTTTCTTTTTGCTAATTTATGTTTTGATAATTGATATGGGCGTCTGGGACGTACTGTAAAAATGAAGAGAGGATGCCTTAGAGCCAGAGGGGTAATTTCATCAAGTGGAAAATGTCACCATCCGTGTGCACTCTCCCCTTTAGGGGGCTCTCATTTGAAAATTATAGAATGGAAACATAATGCCAAACATATCTTACTATTAGTTTTGCTGTTGATGATTACACTGATTTATGTACTGATTGAACTGATTCACTAGTTAGTGAATAATGCATTCTTCAAAGTATTTAATATACTTGGAATAGTGTAAGAATTCAGTGATCATTCATATAGAGTTCAAATTATTCGCATTTACATTTATTATTAGGACGTTGTTTATGTAGACTGTAGTGCAAAGTAAGAATCAGATGATGTGAAGACAAATGATTTTAATTTGCAAGTTCACACTGTATCCTATCAGTAGGTGAAGATTCTGGACTTGTATCTTAATCTATAAAAACGTCCATTTCGTTCAGTAAAAAGATAGCTAAGTATTTCTCAGGTATATTTTCCTAAATTCAATCCTTAACCTTAAATTGTTAGCGTACTGACCCCAACTTTTTATCTAAAAATACATTATTCTTTCTGATTCTTCTCAATATGGGACTATGTTCTAGGTGAAGACAGTAGCTCGGATAGTCGAAGGAGATGCAGGGAAGGCAATATGCAGGGAGGCTGACAGATTAAAGCCTGCCGCCGTGATCATGGGCACCCGTGGGAGGAGCCTCTTCCAGAGGTAGAAGAAGAAGATCAAAATCTTAGACCAGCATGAGATAATTACCATAGCTGCTCCTAAGTTCCTAACTTGGCTGATTATGCTTTGTTTTCCCTTTGCAGTGTGTTACACGGGAGTGTTAGTGAATACTGCTTCCATAACTGCAAGTCTGCTCCCATCATCATTGTCCCGGGCAAAGGTACATGAAACTACTTGATTTTTAAGTGATTATTGTTCACTTAGTAGATGATGTGCCGAGGACCGGTGTGATAAACCACAAATCCCACTGTTGTGCACTGATCAAGAATAGTCAATTCTTTATGTACCGGCTAATACTGTTTACTGAATACTCCGGTGTGATAAACCACAAATCCCACTGTTTTGCACTGATAAAGAATAGACAATTCTTTATGCACCGGCTAATACTGGTTACTGAATCCTTGATGTACCAAGGCAAATATACCCTTGAATCACTGCATTAATCCACAAATTCCGTTATTAGTCACTAATCGAGAGTAGACAGTTATTGATGCACCAACTATCCAGTGCTTATTGTTCATTAAACAGTTGGTGTATCAAGGGAAATAAACCTGTGGATTATTGCGCTAGAACCCATAAATCTCACTATTTTGCATTAATCAAGAATAGACAATTGTTGATGTGCGAACTATCCAGTGATTATTTGTTTATTGAATGGTTGGTGTATCGCGCAAAATATACCCTCAAGTCAATCCATAAATCCCACTATTTTGCACTGATCAAAGATAGTCAGTTCTTGATATACCAACTATCTAGTGACAGAGACTGTATGTATGAGGTTTTGAGATTTGATAGTGCTTTATCAGCTTTGAAATTTATGAGATGTTTTCTTTTGCTTGTCTTTTGGTTGCAGATGTTGGAGATGAATCTGTCATCTAACTGTGAATTGTACTATATTTGTGCGTGCGCTTTGAGTATTTTGCAACTTTGCATTTGTAATTGGATAAAAGGATTCAGTTGTGTAGAAGTAAATTATCATGTGACTTGGTTTGTATTTTATGATGTTGTGGGACCATTTCAATGTACAAAAGCTTAGATAAATATATATCAACCTCATATCTTTCTACTTTTCCTTTTATTCATATGATGTGATGGAATATGACTGGTCTTTTGTGTCAATTCTGTACATATCCTAGATTTATAGAAACTAAAGTCATATAGTCTCACATTTCCACTCATATTATGATTTGAAGAGGCACAGAAAATACCAAGTAAATTTCTTTTATGAAATATTTGCACATTAGCTAGATACTTCATCACTATGATACAGTAACACTTCACAAAATCCTACATTTCTCAGTTAGTATATGAGTTTGGCATGTTTATTGCTTAACTAGTAGCTAATATTTTACCTACTTGTCAGGTGAAATTGCAATGAGGATTGAGAGAGATTACTATAAATTTTAGCATGTCTTCACGCGTTGAGCATATTTTTTTTTTCTTTCTAAAATCTGCTTTGAACCATGTTTTCTGAGATTGATTTTATTGACTTAAATTCACTTCCGTTATATCAAAATTCTGAAATTACGACGAGAGTGGAAATTTATAATTTCACGCTTTAACAAAACAGAGTAGGGGACGCAAGATCAATCATTCATCCCCATACAAGTATGAGACATCCTTTAGGCCCATTAGCTTTAACTCAACCTCAAGATCCCTGTGGCTGCCATTGACTTAGAGAGAAAACTGTGGTCCTCAGAGAATGAAATGAGAGCCCAAAAGCACATACTATGATCTTTTTATATCCATCTATGATAAATGGGACTAAAGTTTAGTCCCATTTTCATTATTATGCAAGGACCACAATATGACAGTTTCTGTCATAATAAAGTAGGAAGATTACAGAGCAGTTGGCATCGATTCACGTTATAAATGTTTATTCCTTCTTACAATGTTTAGCAAAGAAAAGTCCAACCCTTTTCTCCCATCTAAATCAAGAAATAGGTGGATGATTACAATGATACATTATGTTTCTATTCTTTTTTACCCCCTTCGAAATCTAATTACTACACATTTCAATTATGTACTTTTTATAAAGAATCATCAGCTCAATGTTTTCCATATGTTTATCCTCCAAAATGTCTAACTCAAGTTCACATCTCCGTCTTCAAATTACCCGATAAATGATTTCCTGCAGGATTAATGATAAAAATTTCTCACCAATCAGTATCAACTTTACTAAATTATAGAAAACATAAATTGTCAAAAAGAAAACACATTGTGTACCTTGCAACGAAAGAAAAGGGAAGGCAGACCCATACAAGTTATGTAACTCATTGTCCCAGCCAGGATTAGACCTCGGAACCTGAAATATTCGGACCCACAGATTATGTTATAACACTAGTTACACTAAATCTTTAGTGTTAGTATTTCTATTAATTTTATACAAATTTTTTTATTTTTAGAGTACTTACATTGAAATTTGAATCCAAGAATGGTGGAGGTTCGTTTGCAGGCGGGCTAATGGATCTTTGCAAGGCTAACTCAGTCGGGTTCATACTCACACCCATATCGTACCCGCAAGATGTTATTGCTTGTTGTAGGACATTGAATTGGAGAAAGCTCGGATCTATTATCTCCGACTCCATTCCAATACTAGAATTATATGATAGATTCATCTGTAGAAAAGAGGAAAAAATAAATTAGAAAAAAAAATACTATGTACTTTTATCCAACCTTAACAAATATAACAATAAAAAGTTACTATGAAAGGGGAGTTTATAGTAATTTTTCTGTTTTATACTATAGTTTAACCCCTCCCTGGTTAAGAGTCAGATCAGACCTGACCCACTTTCAACCTAATAATGATTTGGAAATAAGACTCGACATGACCTAGGCATCTATCCATTGTCTCAAGAATATAATCTACGGACGTGTAGATTTGGTCCCATGACCATAGTTTTCAACTCGTAATAATTAATAAAATAAAGGAAAAGTATTTGTAGGGGCCCCCTATAGTTGTTGCCAATGCAAATGTTAGCTAAGATTAGGACCACTACCATAAAGGCAGTGGCCCATTTCCACCAAGAGCCATTCAAATCATTAAAGATGCATGCATATATACATTTGGTTTGGCAAGACAGTATAATTAAGGTACATAAATTTGTTCTCTACCTCTTTGGTGAACAATTGTTCCATGTCCAAGTCTAGCCTCGGGTTAACTGTTGCAAGCTTCATGGACAAGAACTGTCAATTGAGACAATATTTCAACGGGTTAGTTATACACAATTGACGAAATTGGGCAAGGATCGATAAGTTGCAAATAACCCCCTTTTCCATAATTTATTAACTAAGAGGCGGTGAGTACGTACTAATAAATGAACTGAGGTACGTACGGTGAGAGTACAGCTGAAGATGTAGTTGAGGGGGGTTATCTACAATAAACGTATGCTATAAAACTTTACCTCTACTTGTCTCTGAAGAGATTGAACATAGTTGATGATCTCGTCGAGCATGCCGGCTTTCCCGGTGATTTTGTTACAGCCCGGTACCAGACCCTGTAAATACTTCATCCTCTCGCTTATCCTCTCTCTTCTGACCTGTCGTGACCGAAACAATCGTCGGAATTCAATATTGGAAAATACCTAATAGCTTTAGCTTTTGGGTGCGATAACCGCACGAGCTCTAAACAAAACCATAGAGAGAGAGAGAGTGTGTGTGTGTCTGTGCGTGTGTGTGATGAAATGGCATCTTAGAGATGGAATATTAATTAATTGCATATTTGTGCTTACTCTTTCAGCCAAGCTATGGCTATCCGTAGCTTGCCCTCTCCTAGCTCTCACATGTATATAATCTTGCTTCTTGTCATTGTTCTCCTTTGAGCCGGTGGTCCCTGAATCCTCTCTCTTATTCTCCTTCCGCTTCTCTACTTTATTTTCTCGATCTCCCTTCGGCCGCTTCTCCTCCTCATCATCACCAGAAACCTACTCATCACCAGTCCAAAATCAGCCCGTTATTTATTTATTTAATTCCCACGCATAATCAATAAATTAAAAGCTGAAAAGTTCCATCATGCTTCACATAATACAATGGCCAAGTACACGTGCATTGGTTATCTGTACCTCAGAATGCAAGTGATTAATTATTATTCATATTCTATTTCATTAGCACACGCATTTCCTAGCTAGTTAATACTGGATTCTGTAACCGTGTTCGGGTTTTTTTAATAAAATTCTGCGGAATTAATATATGGTCAGAATTAGGCATTTGATAAGAACATCCCCGTGAGATTCTCACACGATCGAGTTATAAAATTAACGCGGTTAAAGAAATCTGAGAATGTATGAGCTAATAAATTAAATAGGACATAAAGTAGCTGGCTACTCATTTTGCTAAATAAATTACACTATAAACAGCCTGTGGATATAAAATCCAAGCATCATATCACATATAAATAACAATTTAGAAAAATAAGCTTTCCTCTTAAAATCATAAGAAGAACACTTACCACCGGAGACTTGTCAGCTTTCCTCTTCTTTGAGCTCTTCTCCTTCCCAACTTTAGCTGAAGAACTTGAGTTGCACATTGTAGTAGCAGGAGAAGGAGTATTAGTACTAGCATTGAGATTAGGCCAACAATGATCAATCAACCCTTCGCTTTGTTCATGAAGAGAGGAAAAATTCTCACAAGCATTCAAGTTATGAGCATCTTGCCATTGGAGATGAGCCCTTTGCCTCTCAAGCACCGAGGGGTTGAGGCAGTGCATCATCATATCTTGCATTATGAAATTTTGTGAATGTTTTTTGTTGGTTTTTTTGGCTGAGCTTTCGGCTTGGGTATTTTGAGAGGGTGGGGGGTTTGCTTTTATAGGGGGGAGTGGATAAGGAAAGTAAAATAAATGGGAGGATGACAGCTGCCCTTAACTGGGCTCCTCATTGAATTAGGAGCCAACTTTTGTTACTGGGGCCCCATGCTGACATGACTGACACGTGGGGGTGTCTTGGGAGGAGGTTGAAGGCTTGCGGGCTGGATGGGTTTCGATCCGACCTGTTAAGGTCAAGAGAATTTGTAGGTCCAAAATTGGTGCGAAGTGACTCGTTTAGGGGGTGTTTGGCAATCTGAAAGTGAATTTAAAATATGTAAGTTCTTTTTTTTTCACAAATGAGTTTTACATCCATGTCAGGACGCAAGTGAAATACAGTGTTTGTTTGGAAAATTAAATTATTATCAAAAGTGCAATGTGAAGATGACGTGGCAAAATAAGATTAATTAGAAAGTATAATTAAAATCATTTAATTAAATTAGTTACATTTTTGTCACTTTCATGTGACTTCACCATTTTTTTAGAGGAAGTCAAAATTGCATTAAATCATATGTGACAACTTTCTTGTATCTCACTTTCATAACCACTTTACATGAAAACAAATACCTTAATTATTAAAGGAAAATAACTTTCTTACTTTTATCTTTCACTTGCATGCAAACAAACACCCCCTTCGTCCATTGCTACTGTAATTTTAATTTATTTGGATCAGTTATTATTTTGTAGACCTATTGTAGTTGTAAATACAAATGCAACTTCAATTGTGAAATACCTCGAGTCAGATGTACGACTTGAGCGAGTTTGGACGTACATCATAAGTGTAACCATTTTGAGTGATTGAAGGGGCTCACATTGGAGCTTCAGCCGCAAAGTCATCCCTCAGTATAATTCTGAAAAAAGCGATATCCAAAAGAAAAATTCTTGAAGTACTCAAAATATGGGACCAATAGGGGGACAAGTGAGGTGTCCTCCTCCTATTAGATAATGAGTTGGCCATTATTAATGATGACCAACTCATTATCCAATAGGAAGATGACACATCACTTGTCCCCCCAATTGGTCCCATATTTTGGGTTCCTGTAGCAAAACTCTATCCAAAAACAAGTTTTTACAACTACAAACTGTGGTAGTTTAGCCAATTTATATCTTAAAATTGAATTAAATAATGACAACTGTAATTACGTGTAACAATAATTGCATCAACTGCTTGCATGAAATTAGAAGTTGCATTTAAATTAGTGAAGATAACATTAAAATCTGCATATTAACTAGAAGCGTAAGATGAGACATCGAGACAACAAATGGTAATACATTGAAAAATAGTATGTACACAAGTTGCATAGGTATTGAACGATTTAGTCATGATAAATGGAATAAGAAGAACTAGAAGAAGTAAAAAGTGTGAAAAATATTAAAATACCCATTAACATAGGTAAATAGAGTTTAGAATAATGTTTTTTGAACTGGTAAATGAAATTGTATCCCAAGTTTACAATCAAAATAAAATAAAATATAATACCATGGTTAAAAACTAGAAATCATAAACATAACTGAGTTTAGAATAACGTTTTTATTCCTTCCACGTATTCTCATGCTAAAAAAGTCTTTAGAACCGATTCCTTATCCCAAATTATAATTTTAGATTTCTCTCTCCACATCAAAGTTATAACTTTATACCAACTAATTACAGGTTATTATAATTGTTGTGCTAAAGAAATAATCAAGCGTTAATCACATTTAACTGGCTGATACGTGTCTTCAGCAGACTACACATTGACTTGACCCAGATACACCGACTTCTCGTCTCCCTCGAAGGCTGAGACGAAAGGCCTCTCTTATCGTCTCCCTCGAGGGTCTAGACGAAAGACGTATTTTCTTGGTCCTCTCGCAAAACCGAGACGGAAGGTGGACATTCTTGAACCCCTCGCTGACATCCAGTCACCATCACATTAAATGCATAGTCAAAGTCATGATTACATCCTACGAGTCTTAATAACTCATGGGACCTCGTCAGTACCTTACTTCCCCTATCACCGTTGCATTAATCATAAGGGTGACTTATGCCGCCCACAGCCGACACCTGTAAAGTATCAACCTAATAAGCTGATTGCATGGACTCAGTCAAGATTACATAAATATGCTCGTCAGCTTGGTATAAATAGCCACATCGCCTACTGACCAAAGGTACACAATTTTTGCACACTTAGAGAACTATATCAGTTCATTTCTCCCCCTTCAGATCATGACTAACTTGATCGTCCGAGGAGCTATTAGAGAGTACAACTCTAACTATCTAACATGTTGCATGTGTGTAGGAATCTCCTCTTATCAGGAGATAAACTATCAAAGGAGATTGGGAGACCCTAAGCTCTTCAAAATCAGCCTTAAATCCCGCACTAAATCTCCTTGTTTGATATTTGACATGAATAAGAATTAATTATATTCCATAATAACATAATACAACTAACATGTTCATAAACCACTTGATTTTTTTTAGGGACCACAAAACATTTATTTGTCATTATGTGTTATGTAGGGTTATCTTTAAAGTTGCATTTGACATTAATTTCTCAATGATAAAACTTCAAGACAATTTTCTTATTGGACTTGGATTGATTTAAAAGTAGGACCCGGCCCAATTATGGCGCCTGCGACCACGCTCAGTCGCCACATAAAAGATGCCTACGTGTCAGTCAATGATACGTCAGCCGCAGTTTCACTGGGTTTCACGTGACTTGAGCCACGTGTCAAGCTCACAGCCTCGTGAGATGCCGCACAGGCGAGGATGACGTGGCTGTCAGATGAAACGGGGTTCTGTGACGAACGGGGAGGATTTTAAGGGGGGGCTTCTGTTGTGCAGGGTTGTAACTCGTACGTGATCTCAAGTCAGTGAGCACGTGGTTGTGGTGAATAAGTGGGCATTTATATACTTTACCGTTTTTATCTCCAGACCACTTGGAAACATGGTGATTTCACAGAAATCACTTTTCACTTTCAATTTACAAGTAAATTATTTTAAAGTGAATTTTTATTCTAATCAATCATCTCTTATTAGTTAAAGTTTTACTAAAAAATAAAAAATAACCTTGAAAATTTACGTTTAAGGTATATGAGCTTGTATTCTAAATAGACCTCATCATTAACAAAGTGAGTCATTTGTTTATGACGTGAGATTTTAAGGATATTTTTGGTTGTTCTGTGAAAAGTTTGACTAAAAGTTAGTTTATCCATGAATTGAAAATGAATGGTGATTTTTGTATAATGATCTTATTTTAAAGTGGTTTTTAGGTAACAAAAAAAAAAAAACCCCTTTATAAAGATAACTTGAAGAACTTTAAAGAAGAGTAATTTCCACTTTTATCACCTTCCCGAAATAAAATGTTCAAGTAAACATGATATTTGGAGTTATATATTCTTTAAAACCTAGAAGAAGGGGCAATTTGGGAACTTTAATCATCCATGCCTTCAACAATACCTTCAATGAGATAATTCCTCCCGACTTATTTATTAGCACTCAGCTCCCCTGAAGTCACGAGGGAGCCGAGAGGTGTTACCTCCAATTTAGGTACTAATAAAAATGTCAAGTGATACTAATTTCTGATAAATCGAGAGAGCTACATGCTAATGAATGTATAGATCTACGTAGGGAATTTATTTGCAAATTTCCCATCATTAGATCTTACGCATCTTTCCACGCCCGGTCATTTCTAGCAATATTCACCCATCTCTATATGAAGCTCACCGTCTCATCACATTATGTACTCTTCACAACATTTAAAAAAAAAATTCCAAGTCAAAGATTACTTATTCTGATTTATCAAATCAAGATGAATATATATGACTGGAAATTTCCATCAAGACTAAGATTTTCTCCTTCACCAATCATTTTAGATGAGACTAACATCAAGGTTCGCCTAATTTTAAGAATTGCTACGGCTTATTTTGGAAAGAACGTAGTGAGCTAGATTAAAGATTCCAAGGGAAAATGTTAGGAGAATTTGTAGCTTAATCGTCTTCTGCTGCAGAGCGCACCATGCAAATTTAATTACTACTATTCTCATCCTTTGGATTATATGCGCGCGTTTTCATCCCCGTGTCGTTATTTTTTATTTTTTATTATTATCAATGAGTCTCAGATCCATGCGTTCTCTTCCTTAAAAAAGATTGCCATCAACCTTATTAAAATCTTTAAATTTAAACTATATAAAGTATATAGTTTCTCATTGTAAATGACCACAGTATGGGGCCATCATGAGAGTGAGAGCTCAAGTGGCGGTGACATCAAGAAATGACGTTGGCAATTTGCTCTACACATAACTTTGTTTTTTTTTTCTCCTTCCTTTTTTATTATTAAGGCACGAGATAGTGAAAGTTTGTTCACTAGAAGTCAATTAGCCCCCCCATCTTATCTGCCAAATTTCGTGCATGTCCTCCCATTTCCCTCCTCCTATCCCTCTACGGATGAAACAAGTGATGGAGGGGGAGGAGGAGATGGTGGTGGTGATGACAACGTCCATGAATATCTAAACATATCCGAGGAAAATTATAATAATCGCGTCAGTCTCTATCGACAAATACCCCCAGATGATCCGCTCCTTGGATTTTTATTTCACATTGTGTCACAACTTGATACGTAAAAACAAGAGTTTCATTTTCACAGTATCATGGTGGTAGAACCTTTTACGTTTATTATACGAAAAATCTTATCTTAAACAAAAATTGAAAATGATATTGAAAGTTACTTAACAGTACCGAGAGGAATTCCTTCTCAACAAATACTCCTGATGACTGGTTATTTGGTTCGTATGTCATTGTATTACAGCTTGAAGGTTAAGCAATACAAGTTTACTTTCAAATTTTCTTCTTAATTTCGTGTGTCCTTCTGGTGGACCGTACCGTATTAATGCCAAATATTGGGTGTCATTATCTTGGGGCCCTGTGATCTTGCGTAATAGTGAAAGCTTTGGTTGGATTCAAGTTGCGCAGAAGCCGGAGAATGTACGTACGTGAACACC